TCAATATCAAGAGTAGAGAAAACTTGTTTCTAAACTCGTGATTCGAATCACTCCACACGAGGTATAATCAATATTACTTGAATGATCCTAACATGCAAATTCTAAAGACACAAGAAATTGCATAAGATATGGGAGATAATGGGTAAACTCACTTTTCATTAAACTTAAAACTGTGTCTACAACAAGAAACCTCAAGGCTATATATAGTCATCTTAGCAAGCCATATGAAAGGTCTTTAAGAAAATGGAAAGACTCATAACTTACCAGAAATGAAAAGACATGTAAATGAAATGACATAACTTACAAGAAATGAAAAGGCCAAAAAAAGAAAAGACATAACTTAAATAAATGAAAAGACAAGCAAATGGAAAGCCAACAAAAATAAGTGCAATTTAGTACATGATGAGGGACATGAGTGTTTGACTTGGTTTTTGAATTGAATGAGTTGACTTTGACTTGAATTGATGGAGCTGACTTTGACCTTTATCAAGTTGACTTTGACTTGCCTTAAAATCACTTAGGAATGCATAACTTGCACCAAATTGTAGTGAGTTGTTCCAACTTCTTGCACATCTTCCTTTAATTCTCTTGTCGAGTTCACAAATACTTGGACACGAAGTAGTAAGGCTTGTTGAAGTTTCCTAGCTCTCGATCTTGTAATCGGCCCTGAAGCATCACCAAAGGGAGCTCCTTGGTTCATATGTATCATGCTAGGGGAGAACTCATTGTGAAATAATACAAACAGTTGTACACAAGCTTATGACTAGCATTGGAATAGGGCTAATGCCATGCAAATTGCAATCATCTCATGAAATACCTAACGAAGATCATGTTAGCTGAGGGACCACTTAACCTATTCCTAAAACTCACGAACCAAAAAGTAATTTTTTTTCTAAAATAAGAGTTCATGGATTCAATTGTAACAATAGCTATAATTCATAGATAGTATGTATTGTCCACCAAACTATGCTTGCACCGACAAATTTGAGTAGTTAGCATGTAGAGAGATTAACAACAAAAGGTTGCTTGCCACAAGTAAAATATGGACAAACAATTGTTTTTAACAGCTTTGTAATATATTTTCTTATTTGTGATTCAACTACTCACACTAAATTTCGGAAGAAATTATATTTCGTGGACTAAATACAAGTTGTATTGCTATCTTGGGGTTCACACAATCTCTAATATTTATCCTGTAATTATTTTCCTTGAATTCTTGTCTTGTTGATCTTAATCGGCCTCTTGGCGGCTTGTTGATCTTGATCGGCTTCTTGGTGGCTTGTTGATCTTGATTGGCCTGTTGGAGGCTTGTTGATCTTGATCGACCTGCTGGAGGCTTTTTGATCTTGATTGGCCTCTTTGTGGCTTATTGATCTTGATCAGCCTCTTGACGGCTTGTTAATTGTTGATCTGGATCGACCTCTTGGCGGCTTGTTGATCTTGATCGGCCTACTGGCAGCTTGTTGATCTTGATCGATCTTTTGGACTTATTTATCATGATTGACCTCTTGACTTCTTATTTATCTTAATCGGTCTTCTGGTTTCTGGTTGATCTCCAGAGAGCAGAGATATTTCGGTCTTATGTGTGGATAAGATTTTATCCCGGGCAAGATTTCGATCAATGATGAATTAGATGATGAATGAACTCCTCTATTTACAGGGTATTGGGCTTGATTTGGACTTGGGCTCACCGAATGGGCCCTCGGTAACTTAAGCCTTTTGCTAACTTGAGCATATTGAATTTTTCATATCTTTGAATTTAATTTAAAGACGCTTGTCAAATTCTAATTGGTCTCAATTTAATGACATAAAATTTTGTCATTATTATGTGGCAATTTGTGATTCGCCGAAATTTATGAGTCAATAAATGCCCCTTTTCAAAATTTATGCCAAGCATAGTTAGGGATGAATTTCGAAAAATATTTTAGTATTTAATTTTACCAAAACCTCAATTTGGAATATGCCCAAATTGAAAATTTGAAATAAAAATTTGACAAATTTGGAATATGTTCAAATTTTGGCCTGAAGTGGAGTAAAGTTTGAATTTGAATTTTTACTCCAATCTCGATTTCGAATATGGCCAGATTGAGATTCAAATTTGGTAAAATTGTAAATTTTGAAATATGCTAAAATTTAAAATTGTACAAAAATTTTGAATTTTTGACATGAACGAGAGTAAAATTTGAATTTGAATTTTTAACCCAATGTCGATTTGGAATATAATCAAATTGAGATTCAAATTTGGTAAAATTGTAAATTTTGGAATATTCTCAAATTTTAAATTCTACCGAGATTTCGAGAATAGAATTCTTTTTATTCGAATTTTGACTTGGATGAGAATAAAGTTTGAATTTGAATTTTTATCACAATCTCGATTTGGAATATGAACAAATTGATATTAAAATTGTAAATTTTGGAATATGCCCAAATCGAAAATTCTACAAAGATTCGAATTTGATCTTCTTTGGCTTCTACTTGATCTTGAGATAGCAGAGATATTTTGATCGTATGTGTGGAGAGGATTTTATCCCATGCAAGATTGTGATTATTTAGAAGATGAATTAGATGGCTGAATGAACCCCTTTATTTATAGGGTATTTCATGTGTTTGATTTGAACTCGAGTTCATCTAATGGATTAAGCATTTTGCTAACTTGAGCCTATTGAATTTAATTCTAATTGGTCTCAATTTGATGACATAAAATTTTGTCATTATTATGTGGCAATACATGATCCATCAAAATTTATCAATGAGCAAATGTAACATTTTTGTTCAGGCTTTACCTAAAATTTAGTAGAAAAGTTAGAAAATAATAAATATAATTTTTTATTTATTTAAGAATTATAGTTTTGTATGCAATTAATGAAAAATTAGTTTATTAAAAAACTAAAAATATTTTTATTAACTATTTATGTTTAATATAAAAAAATTACAATAATATTTATTATATTAATCCTCAAATTGTCACATCAAGGCAAAATTCAAACAAAAAATCATACAAAATAAAAACATTTGAATCTCGAAAATTTAATGGCTTAGATAATAAAAAAAAATACCAATACAATCATTTATAATAAAGATATTACTAATATGTAATGGAACCATATAAATTGAAGATAATAATAAACCCTTAAATTGCAAAGAACAATGAAATAAATAGACAATAAATATATATATGTACGTTGCTTCAACAAAAAAATATATATACGCACACATTCAAAATCTTAAAAAAATAGGATGGAGGCACCATCCTTTAAAAGTATTTAAGAAAAAAGAACCACTTTTATAAAACTGGAATTCTAATTATCCCACCAATATATATATTTTCTTTTTCTTTTTCTTTTTTTTT